CTAGTTCCTGGTTGGGGAGATTGTGATCGAGATGTCAAAGAGGATGTACCTTCTTCGGATTCCGTTTCTTCTTCTCGTTTTCTTTTTTGAGCTTGTTGCGTAGAAGTACTTGGAAACCAACCTCGAGACGGCCCGATTGGTCGTTGTTTTTCTGGGGTTTTGTTTGGATCATCTGGTTGAGCGAAAGACAGTGTAAATGAAATGAATAAAATTACCAGCATTTGGTTTTTAAGTTGTTTATTATTGGTTTTTAGTTACATTACCCATTTACACTTTAATGTTTTATTAATTCAATCTTTATAACTTCGAATTTTTATGTTAAGACTATTTTATTTTTAGATTTGGTTGTTTGAAAATCAAAAACACGTTTTCCAAAAAAAGTTATCATGCAAGTCATACAAATTTAAAAGACTGTACAAAGGTTAAATTTTCAAAAAATGTAAAGTTAACAGATAAATATTGATTAATTTTTTAATGTTAAAAATCACATTACACAGTTATTTCTTTGAACATTTTCAAGGTCAAGTAAATATTTTGGGAAGTCTAAAAACATTACTTTATCCCCACATTTTCTCTTTTCATATGCATATATTCTTTGAGAACATTCTATCAAAGGAGGGTGCATTTTGTTTCTTTTTGGATCAAAACAGAATCTAATTTCCATTATATTTGTATTGTCAATACAGTTAAACGTTGGATTGGCTCCATATCTATTTCTCAATACTTTCCTTAATGTTTCCTTCTCATACATTTTGTTTGTCTCAACTTTTAATTCGCTTTCCTTGAGAAACGACCACACTTTGAATTGACTTTTGAGAAACATCATTGTTTCGATATATTGTTTGGGGCCGTTTGGTCCTTTATATATGTCATACGAACAGCTACCATGTTTGTCCATTTGAAAAGTCGAAAACACACACTTTTCAAGTGACATCCAATCACTCAAAACAAATTCCTTTATAACTTCATCACTCTTCATCATCGCCTCAACGTTTTCAATCATAAAATTGTTTTTACAACACTGCATATGTTTGTTTGAATCAAATTGTGGCCAAAATCCATGGAACATAAATTCTTCCTCTAATTTCATTGTAGTCTGTGGAAGAGAGCAAACAATATCGTAGCACTTGATTGGCCAAAACAAAACAAACAAATAGTAGTCAGACAACCTCACATAAGATCTGTAATAATTGCACATGTCATAATATTTCAAAATTATAATTGTTTTGCCAAATGGTGTTGTTTCTGTTGGGTAAGCAATTGGATGTTTGAGTTTTGATGTTGCACCTTCTTCTGAAGATGTTTTCTCTTCATTTGTTTTTTTCCATTGTTCCCTTTGTTTCCTTCCTTTTGATTTGGCTTTTGCTCCTTCCGATGTTTGTTGAGATGTTGATGGATATTCAGAACCTGAAGAATGGGGGGAAGAATCTGGTTGACACAAAGCATAAGGAATCAAAATTAATAAAAAGAACAACATGAATTACAAAGTTTAATTGTTATATGTTATTTATTTGTTTTAACTTTACATATTATTATTTGTTTTTTGATTATTATTTTTATTAATTTTGGTGTTTTTTTATAAAGATGTAATTAAATGTATTAAAAAATATAGTTAAATTTATTAACAAATATAATACACTTTATTATTTATCAATTAACTTTGGTTAGTTGATGTTATTTGAACACCATTTTTATTTAAATATCAAATAATAAAACAACTTTTGGAATTAAAATTCACAATTATTTCTTGGTGCCGTTAGGGGGTTCAACAAATAATCTGGAAATTTTTTCAATTTCACCATATCACCACATTTTCTTTTTTCGGTTTGAATAACTCTGTCTGGACATTCCCTTGGCTTGGGGTCGTATTTGTCAATATCAATATCAAAACAGATTTTTATCTCAAATAATGAACCAATTTCTTTGCATGAGAACACTGGATTTACATTAAAAATTGGATAAATAACTTTTCTCAAATCTTCTGTATTGTACATCTTTTCCGTCTCGACTTTTAAGTCACTCTCTTGTAATATTTTCCATATATCAACCTTTTCGTATAAATTAATAGCTGTATTTAAATAATCTTTTGGTCCATTCTCGCTGTTGTAAGTTGTAAGTGAACAACTACCATGTTTGTCATATTGGTATATTGAAAAGATGCAACTCTTTATTGACATCCAATTGTTCACTATTTTTGTAAATAAAAAGTCATCACTTTTAATCATCTTTTCTATATCTCGAATGCCATATTTTGTGTGACAGCATTGAAGATGTTTTTGTGTATAAAATTGTGGCCAAAATCCGTGAAGAAAAAATCCTTCTTTGACTATTTCTGTCTTAACAGGAAGAGAACAAGTTGAGTCCTCACACTTTTCACCAGGCCAAAACACAACAAATTGCATGTATTTTAATTGTGTTGTGTATTTCTTATAACCTTTACACATTTCATAATTGGGCAATATAATAATGTCTTTAGCAAATGGTTTTTCGACATATTTGTATGTACTTGGATCTTTTTCTGGTAAAAGTTCTTGTGTTTTTTCTTCTGTTTCTTCTGTTTCTTTTGTTTCGTCCTTTTCCTTTTTTAACTCTTGTGAAGGAATTTCTACGAGTTTTTCATTTGAAGAAGTAGTTGGAGATTGGGTTACCGATTCTTGAGTTCCCAACCCTTTTCTTTCTTGTCGTCTTTGTCGTTTTTTCTTGTTTTTTGAATGTGAACTCTTTGGCTTTTGACTCTGAACACTTGGAGTCGAAGTTGTTGGACTTTGACTGCTATCTTCTGTATATTCGGGTTGTTCGAAAGAAAGTGTCAACACAAAGAAAATATAAACAAATTGAATTGACATTTCAGTGAAATAGACTTTTTAATTATAGTGTGACCTTATTTATTCTTTTAACCTCAAATTTATTTATAATAAATTTGACAATTTAAAAGTTTGTATTATTTCCAATAATATTTGTGTTAGTTTATAAAATAATTATAATTATGATAATTTTATACTTTTATAATTAAAAATATTTACAAGTAGTTTCATTTTTAAAATTTATTTTTCATCTAAATTTAATTTTAATAATGATGTAATAACTTATATTAAAAACTTCTCATCAAAAAGGACAATTGTTTCTTGGTGCTGTTTCATGATTCAATAAATACTCTGGAAACTTTTCAAATTTGACCATTTTTTCGCACTTCTTTTTCTCATATTGGAATATTCTATCTGGGCATTCTATTGGGTTTGGCTCAAATTTGTTAATTTGAATATCGTAACATATTTTTACTTCATGTATTGAGTTCATTCGTCGACATAAAAATGCTGGTTTAACACCAAATATTTCTCTCATAACTTCTCTAAGTTCTTCGATGTGATACAATTTATCTGTTTCGACTTTTAATCGACTTTCTTTTAACAACTGCCATAAATCCATCTTTTGATACAAATCAATTGCAACATTGATATATTGCATCGGTCCATTTTTACCAGTGTACGTCTTCATCGCACAACTACCATGTTTGTCGAGTTGATAAGTAGCAAATCGACACATGTCAATAGACATCCAATTGTCTGCAATTCTTTGAACCAAAATGTCGTCTTCCATAATTCTTTTTTCAACATCATTAATTTTATAAAAAGAACTACAACATTCAAAATGTTTTGCACCACTTTTTTGAGGCCAAAGTCCATGTAAAAGAAAATTTTCTCTAAAATTTGTTGTTTTTACAGGAAGAGAACATTCTATATCATAACACTTTTCCCCAGGCCAAAATAACACAAAAAGCAAAAATTGCATTCTTGACGTCTTTTTCTGATAGTATTTGCACATCCTATAATTTGTCAGTATTTTTAATGTTCTGCCACTGGTCGTTAATTCTTTGGGAAATTCAGTAGGCTCTTTTAATTGTGGTGTTTTTCTTCGTACAACTTGTGCCATTGCACCTGTTGCTTTTTCTTCTTCTTGAGAAGATTCTGGTTTTTCTTTTTGAACTTCTTTTTGAGGATCTACCTTTTCACTATCTTGCGCTCTTTTAGTTGTAACTGTTGATGTTGTTGGTATTTGTTCTTCTGATAAACCTTTTGAAGGAGGTATTTTACTTTCTTTTGGTTCTTCCGGTTGTTCAAAAGAAAAACATACCAAAAGAAATAAAAATACAATCATTAAATTACGAGTTATTAATGAAAGAAAAAATGCAATACACGGAAGGAATTAATCTTTTTACAAGGAAATAACTTGTTCTTTTTAAGAAAAAAAATATTTTAAGTATTAATAAAAATTGAATAATTATGTTATTTTTGTTAAAAACATAAAACTTATTATTCTCGAAAAAAAGTTTTTATATTTGTTAATTATTTTTTTTGTAATTTGACAATCAAATTGTACAAATCTAATATGGTTTGAAACTTTCAACTTATTGATGTTTTTTAACTTGTAATAAGAGTATTAACAGTAATATAAACAAATATCTGTTTATTTATACAATTTGTTAAAAAAAATAGATACCTTTAAATTTGTTAATATAGACAATCATTTCTGGGTGCTATCTTTGGATCCAATAAATAACCTGGAAAAGTCTTAAACATGACCTTTTTATCACAGAATTTTTTCTCCACCTTTTCGATTTTTAGGGGGCATCTAATTGGTTTGGGATTAAATCTATCGCTTGAAGGATCATAACAAACTCGAACCTCATAAACAGAGTTTCCATTTCTGCACATGAAAGCCGGTTTACCTCCATACGCCTTCCTCACTACACTCCTAATTTCTTCAATATCATACAATTTGTTTGTTTCAACTTTTAATTCACTCCTTTGTAAAAATTTCCAAATGTTCATATTTTTATAGAGTCTTATTGCTGTCTTCATATAATCAAAAGGTCCATCTCTCCCTCTATAAGTTGACAATGCACACGTCCCATGTTTATCAAATTGGTGCATCGCAACTTTACATTTACTCACAGAAATCCAATTCTTATGGATTTTTCTCATCAATTTTTTATCATCTAAAAGTCTCTTTTCCACATCATCGAACGTGAATTGATTAACACAACAAAACATGTTTTGGTTCACAACAATTTCAGGCCAATATCCATGAAGAAAGAATTTTTCTTTTGCTCTATCTTTTGTCTTTGGAATAGTACAATAATCGTTCGCACAGTGTTCACCTGGCCAGTATTGAACAAATAACATAAATTCTAGTGTTCTTTGACGATTTACATACTTCTTGCATTTTTGATGATTTTCCAAGGCTGTTATTGTTGTTGGTAAAAGATATTTAAAAGGAGGAAAAGGGATTTGATGTGGAACCGATTCAGATGTTTTTTGATGTGAAATGCCTTTTGATGTTGAAGGTTCCTCGTCAGAAGAGTCTGTTCGTCTTCTCTTATATTTTTCTTCGTACTTAGAAGCACCTTTAGAAGTACTTTCTTCGGTTGTTGTATGTTTTCTTTTGTGAGTATGTTTACCACCATGAGTACTTCTAGCTCTGCTTGTATGTTCACCCGTTTTGTGATAAGAAGAATGACTTGATGAAGAAGAACGACTGCTTTTACTTTTTGATTGATCTTCATGTGACCTTTTCGATTCTTCAGGTTGAGTAAACGAATGAGTCAAAACAATTAACATAACCAGAAATAGAAATACTTTCATATTTTGATTTTTCAGAGTTCATTTTGAACATAAAAAGTAAAAATTAAAAGGTCAAAATATTAACTTAATTATTGAAGTTAATATTGTTTTAAATATTTTCAAATAAAATAATATTTCAGTTAATTAATAAAGACATTCATTACGTATCAGAGTTTCTGGATTTCTTAATTCATCTGGAAATGTTCTTAATTTGATTTTATCATCACACTTTTGTCATCTTTATAAATTCTATTTGGGCAATCAATTGGAATATAATTTTTGGCTCCACTTTTTGTTGAATAGCATATTTTAATTTCTTGCAAATACATTCCATTTGCACATTTAAAAGATGGTTTTGCATTGTAAACACTTTGGACCACTTCTTTAAGCTCTTTAACTGTATATAATGTTTCAGTTTCAACTTTTAGACGACTTTCTTTTAAGACCTTCCATATATTAATTTCCTTCCGCATATCTATTGCTGTTTTTATATAATCAATTGGCCCCCTTCTCCCGTTAAATGTTTTTAAAGAACATGTACCATGTTTTTCATATTAATAAATTGCGAAATAACACTTGTCGAGTGACATCCATAAATTTGCTACATCAACCTGTAATGATTTGTATCCAAGAAGCCACTTTTCAACTTTTGAATAAGTAAATTTGTTCACACAACATTTTAGTGATGTTTTGGAATTAAACTGTGGCCAAAGTCCGTGAATAAAAAAGCCCTCCTCTATAAATTCTGTTGTCTGAGGAAAACTGCACCTTTTCTCGTGACATATTTGACCTGGCCAATACTGAGTAAACAATAAAAAGTCATAATTGATGGCTTCTTTATAAGATTCACAAATTTGATTTGGTTGATTTGGTGATAAAATTGGATGTTGAGACACAAAAATTTGGTATTGACTTCGTAATTTAACTTGTTGATGCACTTTTGGTCGAACAACTTGTTCTGGTTTTATCTCTGCTTGTTCGACTCTTTTTGGTAAAGGATTAAAATCTTTTGGAACTTTTAAACTTGATTTTATTTGGCCAGTATCTTCTCTTGTAGATTTAATTTTTGTTGGATCAAAAACAGGTGAAATTGTATGTTCAGTTTTCTTTTTTTCTTTTTTCTTTTTTGATTTGACTGTAGTAAACCCATCATCTTCAGAAATTTCTGGTAGACTTTCTTGTAATGTTTTCATTTCAGCAAATTGTTTTTCCTTTGTAGAATCTTTTCTGTTTTCTTCTGGTTGCTCGAAAGAAACTACTAATACCAACATAAATAAAAATAACATAAAGAAAAATTCAGATTAAAAATTGATGGTTATTTTTGAATAAATGATGTATTAATATATTGTTATTATTTTGACTATAATTGTAATAAGTTGTTTTGTAGAATAAAAATAAATTAACTTTGTAAGTTGGTCTTCACATTTTTAATTGAATATAACAAAATATTTTTATTTAATACTCACAATTGTTTCTTGGTGCAGTTTTTGGGTCAAGTAAATGAAATGGAAATTTTTTCAGTTTCACCATTTGTTCGCATTTGTTCTTTTCTCTAGTGAAATATTTATCAGGACATTCTGCTGGTCCTGGGTTGAAAGGATCTTGCTCAACATTAAAACAAACTCTGAAATCGTGTATGTACTCTTTTTCGATACAATGAAAAACAATATCAGTTTTATATACCCCCTGAATAACTTTTCTCAAATCTTTTATATTGTAGAATTTTTCTGTTTCGACTTTCAAATCACTCTCTTGTAATATTTTCCATATATCATGTCTGTCATATAAATTGAGTGCCATGTACATATAATCCATTGGTCCATTGTATCCAGGATATACTCTTTGGGAACACGTTCCGTGTTTATCCCATTGATATATTGCAAATCGACACCTATCAACCGACATCCACTTGTTTCTAATTTGTTGTAATAAAGGTTTGTTGTCCATCATTTGTTTTTCTATTTCTAGATCGGAACGTGGATAAATGCAACACAAAAATACTCTGTTGTTGGTATAATATTGAGGCCAAAACCCATGTAGCCAAAATCCCTCTTTCACCATTTCTGTACTTTTAGGTAATGAACACATCTCTCTGTCACATTTGTCACCTGGCCAATACTGCACGAAAACAAACAAGTAGACAGGTTTCTTCATATATTTGTATTTTCTACATAAATCATAATTCTGAAGAATAACAATAGTTGAAGGAAGTAAACCACCTTGAGAAGGGAATGGTATTGGCGTTACTTGCGTTATTGGCGTAACAGGAAGAGTTTGTTTGGTTCTTTGTTTTTCCTCTTTGGCTTTTTTTAACGCTTCATCACCTTTTCCTTTGTATATGAAAGGTGCGCTTTCAGGAAACAATTCTTGTCGACTAATCCCTTCAAGTCGTCGTCTTTCTCGATAAGCTGTTGTATCCCATCTTTCTCTTTTTTCGAAACGAGGTAATTCTCCGGGTTGTTGAATTGGTGGAATTTTTGGACGAACAACTTTTTGTTCAGAGGTTTGTGGTTGTGGTACAACTGTTTTTGGACGAACTGCTGCTGGTTGAACTTCTTTTCTACTTTCTTTCTGAACTTGTGTTGTTTGAGGAGGTGATGTTTCTTTTGGTCTTACCACGGGTTGTTGTTGTGAACCCCTTCGCTCTGGTTGTTTTTGTTTCGCTTGTGTTGAAGTTTGTTGAGTCGCAGCTTTCTTTTTCGATTTTGATTTCTTTGAAGTAACAACTGTAAACCCATCTTCTTCTTCAGAAGGAGGAAGTGCTTCTTCTAATGGTTTCAACGCTGGAAATTCTTGTTTTTTGGTTGGTTTTTCTGGTTGGCCAAATGTCAAATCGAATACAAACAACAGAATGAACAACATTGAAAAATAAAGTTATTTGTTTATTTTATCATGTATTAAAAACATGTTAGATAATGATGTTAAAATTTAAATAACTTTTGATATCAAAAAGAATATTTGTAAAGGCTTTCTTTTTATAATTAAAAA